TTATTAAAAGTTAATGAAATACCAAATATACTGTGCGTGAGTGCACTAATCTGTACTTAATAGAATAGAGATTTTTTAAAGTTCACATATTTACCTGATGTGGTGAAAAGTATTTTGGGGTCTTTCAGAGAAATGGTTTGACAGATGATAAAAAGAAAATTTTTATAACATGGAATAAGCCATGCTAAGTGACCAATTCATATGTTCCATCATTACCACTGTTACATATAGGCCTAGTGGCTTATTATGTGCTAAGCCATCTGTGATTTAATGTCATACCATATCCTTAGCATTGTAATATGTGTATCTTCTTCTTGTAGCGTTATAACTCTATGTGGGACTTAGCTTGTTCGACGAGTTTTTTCCATTCTGTCCTATCATTCACAATTCTCCATCCCCTCACTCCCACTGTCCTCACATCCTCCTCCACATCATCTATCCATCATTTCCGTGGTCTCCCTCTCATCCTTCTTCCCATCACTCTTCTAGTTACCCTTTTTCCTTCCATTCTTGCAACATGGCCAAGCCAGGCCAACCTTTTGCTTTTGATCAGCCTCACGATATCTGCTCCCTTGTAATACGAGGTGCGATCGGAAAGTTTCAAGACTGTGTCAATAGAGGGCGAACCGGATGTAGTACGAACTTCTGCCGCTAGGGGGTGCGGCCTACATTCATAGTGAATCAGTGTGCCAGCCGGCATCATCGAATTAGCATTTCTTTCTTAGTTACGGGCGTTTTGGTAGTGCATTACACCGACCATCCTGCGATTTCGGAATGGCGTGTGCATCAAATTATGCCAAAGACTCGCCAAAACGGCTACGGAAACCTATGAAATGCTAAAGCAAGCATTTGGGGAGTCCGCAATGGGTCGTGCACAAACTTTTGTGTGGCATTCACGTTTTAAAAATGGCCGAACCTCTGTCGATGATGACGAGCGTTCTGGACGACCATCTTCGAGCACAACGCCCGAAAATGTTACGAAGATCGACGTCGTACCATCAACGACTTGTGCGACATTGCTGGGATAGGCTATGGGACCTGTCAGCTGATTCTAAAGGAAGAACTCCACAGGCGACGCATCCTGTCTGAGGACCAGAAGCAGAATCGACTTCTCGTTTGTCAGGAACTCAAAGATCTTGCAAGAACCGACCCCAACTTCCTTTCTAAGCTCCGTGTGACTTCTTCATCTTCCCAAAGATGAAAATTCAGCTAAAGGGAAGGAGATTTGAGACGATAGAAGAGATTCAGGCAGAATCGCAGATGGTGCTTGACAGGCTGACAAAGAAAGATTTCCAGGGATGCTTCCAGGCTTGGCAGCGGCGCTGACGTATGTATACATATGCATATAATAAAGACTTGTGTTGTTGTTGTTGGGTAATTTATTAGTCATAAGATGTTGGGTTCTGTACCTGCGTCCTGATTCTGAATGTTTGTTTCAGAAAATACGTACCATCGATTTGGATGGAAAAACAATAAAACTCCAGATTGTAAGTATTTGTATATTTATTTGCTAAGGTGGTTAAAGAGAAAGAAATGTATTTATAAATATTAATGTTAACAAATTGAAGAGCATTTCAGGTTGGACTTTCATTCTGATCAAACAGAGGTACTTATTTTATGTTTCTGGATCTGAGACATAAGGTACTTGATATTTGGCCTGCTCTGTAGAGGGGCATCACTAGTTGATGATTTTATATTTGTCATATATCTTCTAACATTTTTGATGTTATACTATGTCTGCATCTCCTGTTAAACAGATATACCAAAGGATGAACATTTCTTGTGGCAGTTATTGCCACTTTATAATTTGTTGATGTGTTTCTTAAACCAGAGTAACTTGTCACCAGGAGATGCAATTTTGACTCTTGTCTGCGAGCCACTTTCTCTTTATGAGATTTCAGATTTTCACAGTGACGAGTATGAAGGTGGTTGTCTTCTAAGTTGTTGCACCATGTAGTCTGGTAGCTGCGGTGTGGCATTTGAGAGGTGCTTACTCCCTCCATTATCAAGGCATTGAGTCATGCATGGAATGTATTTTTGAGTAAAAAATGTTTTAGAGCAATGGTTTTATATCCACCTATTTTGAAGCTATGGATTTTTAAAGACGTGTGAATAACAATGCCTTGTAGTAATGAGGTTTTCATGGCAGTAAGTCTGAAGATGGCTGTCTTCTGAGCTGTAGCACCATGCAGTCTGGTAGAAGTTTACTAATGTTTCAGAGGTCCTTGCTGCTTCCATCATCAGGACGATGGTGATGGAGGCAGCAAGGATCTCTGAAACATTTGTAAACTTCTACCAGACTGCATGGTACAGCAACCCAGAAGACAGCCATCAACAGATGCCATCTTCTGTGTACTTTGATGCTTTACAACACTGGTGATGGTTGTAGTGACTTTGGTTACCTAGATATGTAGATATAACCCCATTTGATTTCTTTTTATGGTGTCTAATGAGAGATGATGTACAAGGTAGTTTACATGTGGGAGAAGAACTCCTCCACCAGTTCATGGATGCTGCTGTTAACATATAAGGAAATACCCAAAATTATTTAGCAGGCAGTACAATTGTGTTTGGAATAGGCAAGATGGTGTGTTGAAAATATGGCAGACATTTTTAAGTTACAAGTTGTATATAATAAAATGTGGAAGTAAATTTATCAGATTAATCCTCTAGTGTATCTTTCCTTGCATACACCTTGAAACTGCTATGGCTTTGCGACATTTGGAAGTGGGATGAATGCTGTACTTACATTTTTAATAAAAATTATTTATTATCTCCTTAATTAAACCCCTGCCTTGGGTTTATGGCATACTGATTGTGAAACCACCCTGCATGAAAGACTGTAGTTATGTCAACAACAAATTTTTTGGACTTGAGGGTGTTGCTTTGATTGTGTTGTTCTACTGTACAGATAGCCCTCAATTTGCGCCAATTCAGAATAACGCCGATTTTGAAGCCAGCAAGTCAAAAAGTGGAAAGAATGTATTTTACTATTATTTATAACGTTTTACTATGTGTATCATACTGATTCTTATACTAAATCGTAATTCTTACATCGCTGATTTTGAATAACAATTATAAATACAGTATTCTCTGCAAATTACATATGTTTCTTTAACACAAATTTGCTCTAATGAGATCGATGAATCGGTAAAAGCTGTTTGTGAAATGCAAACTTTTGCATATGCGAGTTTGCTCTTATGCAATTTTATTTCGGGCGCATTAAACTTTCAAAGGACTAATTTAATCTCTGCTGAGGTACCGGGGTTATTTTTACTACGCAATTTTCTATAGGTCAGTGTGAATGCAACTATCACATAACAGCAGAGATGACTATACACATCAATCACATGAAAGAATCGCAGTCAATCGCGGGACCAACGAATTGCCAATTGTAGTTGTATAAAATATATTTTTGAAATTCCCTTTATTTTATTTACGTTATTTCAGAGCTTTAACTGTAATGCCATTATATTACTCATCAATGTTTGGGTGCTGGGAACGCGTCATTGACTTCCCATTGTTTTACATTATAAAAGAGTTTCAATTTACGCCGATTGCGTTTACTTCGGTTCGTCCAGGAATTCATCCCTGGCGTAAATTGGGGGCTACCTGTAATTAAGTGTAGTCATATGAAACCATTGACCATATTGTACTCTTTTCGCAATTTGCATTGTATGTTTGTGTTTGGCCACAAATATAAATTTGTCTTACTTATGCTGGAAGTGCACTGAATCCAGTTCATAGACCAGAAAGTTAATCACTGTTTTGTGTCTTGGTCTTGTTTAAAATGTGCAGAGGAATGAAAGACACTTGGCTAAGAGCCAAGAAAGAAATACAGTACATGACAAAGTTACAGCACTGGTTATTTTGAGCAGAGGCTGTCTATAAAGCTACATGCAGCCAGTAAACTTTTATGCTTTCAGATATGAAGCAGGTAGAACTTCATAGGAGCATTATAGATTTCTTTTTTGTTTTCGGATGTCAGGTTGGGGTTGTAACATATCTGATCGATGGAATAAGCTTGTTGAAACAATTAGATGTGGGATGTAAATTAAGACATGAAGACTTTAAGTTCTAATGCCATTTCTTAAGGGTAAAAGTTTACATTTGTTAATCATACATAATTTGAAAATTTGAAATAAGTATTAGGCCATAGTTATTTCTTTAACCAGAAGCTTCAAATATATAAATAATATATTTTAGAGTATTTGAAAACTCTCACAGTATTTGTACTACCCAACAGTATACTGTTCATGTACTGTAGCTTGAATATTGTTTTTACTACCAAGTATAAGCAAATTGATTGTATGGATGGCATTTTTGGAACATGATTTAGTTAGTTTGTTTAACTTTATGTAAGTAAACATTTTTATGATAAAAATAATTGACTTCTCTTGTGTGTCATCAGATATCTACTTTGGTTATAGAGGTTTGTGGTTTGCATAGGTTGAAATTTTAGAACCAGCTAATTAGCTGAGGATGTTGTATGCTCTCTGTGCCAGTGGTATTCAAACTTTTTTGTTCACGTACCCCCAGATATAATTTCTCTTCAACATTGTACCCCCAAAGTTGTTGGTGTATAATTCAAGTTATACATAGTATATAATCTACATCTGAAATAAATTACATTACTGATTATTCAGTGTTTATCATAAATTTCACGTACTTCCTAAGATGTCTTCGTGTACCCCAGGTTGAATACCACTCAAATAAATATGTCCCCTGTCCAGACAACACAACGCACCAAGTGGAAAACAGATAATAATCAAAAGAAGCATTCTCACATTTGTACTAATGATGCGCTTAAACTTTACTGTATGTTAATGTATCTTCTGTGACATTTTTTCAAAGTTAAATCTTAAAACTTTGGCAGACCCTTGCACAGTACTTGCAGATCACAGACTGCAGCATGATGTTTAGGTATGTTTTGGAAAAGAAATCAAAAAAGAAAAAATATTGCTTTCTCATGCTCATTTGTTTATCTGCAACTTTGGGACATACTTTTATTAAACTTGGGTATGACGTACCTACTGAAATGGTGGACATCTACCGGACTACATGGCGCAACAACTCAGAAGGCAGCAATCATCAGAACGTTTAATTTAGCAAAACAAACTGTACTATAAACCATTGAATGTTAAGTTGGTGCAAATGTTGATGTTTTTTGGTTTGATTTTCAGTGGGACACGGCCGGACAGGAACGGTTCCGAACGATTACATCAAGTTACTACCGAGGTGCACATGGTATTATTGTGGTGTATGACTGCACAGATCAAGAATCTTTCAACAATGTAAAGCAGTGGTTAGAAGAAATTGATCGTTACGCGTGTGACAATGTTAACAAACTGTTGGTAGGAAACAAATGTGACCTTACAACTAAAAAGGTTGTTGATTATACGACCGCAAAGGTGAGTAATGTAATTGACGTGGAACACATTGACTTCAAAGAAAAATATAGTGTTGAGTATTTTGCCGAATATGCAAACTCGTGCTTGTCAGAAATTTCAGTTGCTGTAGTTACACATAGGTTTTGTCAATTTAGTAGTCAGAATGTATAAAGTTAGGAAATATGTGGTTAGCATCAGTTATAGCCATTGTGATGATGAAGATGTAGTTCTCCAGAGTTTCAGCACTGTAACTCGTTGGTTGATGTTAATATTTGGAAAAATTTACTGTTTCCAGCTTCAGGGCTGAAGATGAAGTGTTTTTTCCCCCAGAACATTGGGATCAGCCAACAAGTCGATGCAGTATTGAAACTCAGAAAAACAGTTTCACCAGTTCTAGCATAATTGCCAGAAGTTGGCCTTTAAGGAAGATAGCTGCAGTAACTGCACACAGTAATCAAGGTAGCTGGGATTTAGTTTGCAGGGACAGTGACTATTGAGATCTTATCTAGACCTTTGATAGATTCTATCATTTATTGAAGAAACTTGATAATTTTGGAATATAATCGATTACGTTAACCTTATAAAGCCTGATGGTAATTGCATGTACCACCTGCTTTAATGGTTAGTAACTCTGCATTTTACCCACAGTATATTTATGTGTTTTGTGTAATTTTCAGAATAAACAGTTATTTCCCATAGCAGCATTAACCCATTGATGTTTGTAATTAAGATATGTTTTCTTTGAGGTAGGATCTGAATTTTAAATATGTATAGAGTGAATTTGAAAATATTAAGGTAACTTTGGCTTCAAACATTGTAGTTGTTTTGAAGTTATTTATCAATTACATCTTACTTTATTCATATCTTGGGGAATTTTTATGCCTTCTCTGTGTTAGCTGAAGAACCACAAGGTCTGTTGAAAATTATGAACTGTACAAGTGAATATTGTTCTTAGCGGTTAACGCTGTGTGGACCTGTAGATGTGTCTACAAGTTCACAACTCAAAAGAATAACATTTACATAGTGACTGTTGTGAGAACATCAAAATCTTACAAAATAATATTGATATAGTACAAAAATGGTGTGGTTAAAACTATATGGAAATTTACATTCATAGAACTGAAATTGTATGTTTTACACACAAGATTAACAGTATCAATTTTAGTTACTTTGTCGGTATTGTTTCAATTTTGTTTCTGGTTAGGTTGTTAGTAAACTGCATTTTCATTGTCATTTTGATTACGTGTGTTTTCAGGCTTGTTCCTTATTGCAAGTCAGTTATATATTAAGTTCCCGTTGATCAAATGATACATTCTGTCCAGCCTCATTTGTGACTTTTGTTACCCACTTAATGTTAAATGTTTACCATCTTCCAAATAACTAAGATATCTGCCTTCAGGGCACGATGTAGTCTGGAAGAAGTTTACGAATGTTTCAGAGGTCCTTGCTGCCTCCATCATCTTCTGTCAGACTAAATGGTGCTAATACCCAGAAGACAACCATCTTTGTTCTCACCACCACGAGAACCTCAAATTGTACCGTTAGTCATATGTTTTGAAAATGTAAAAGTTGAATTTCTTAAAATTCCTGAATTCTAAAATTCCTTGACACACGTCTCAGCCGTTAGTGGTAGTTATTGTTCTGATGTTACGTCCTTGTTATCTGGAAACTTGTTATAGTATCAGCAGGCTAAGAAGTGATGGTGCTGATTTTAATATCAATGGGTTAAGAATTGTTTATAATGATTTTAATATCAGCAGTTTTATATTTGACAGTACTGTTTATAATGATTCTAGGAGTATGCTGACCAACTCGGAATTCCGTTTTTGGAAACGTCAGCTAAGAATGCAACAAATGTAGAACAGGCATTCATGACAATGGCTGCTGAAATAAAGAACAGGGTGGGACCACCTTCATCAGCAGCAGAAACTGCTCATAAAGTAAAGATAGACCAAGGACAGCCTATAGAGACGACCAAGTCTGGATGCTGCTGAAACTAGTAGTAATGTAAGTCATTTGTATTGTGCAGTTTTTTTATTGTTGTTGGATGGTAATCATTGTAATCTCTATCTGGAATAGTAGAAACTGAGTACATATCATACATATATTTATTCTTCAAGTCTATACACAAACTATATTAATATTGATGTTAAAAATTAAAATTGATATAAATATTAATATAGTTTGTGTATAGACTTGAAGAATAAATATATGTATGAATTGAAAACACAAACATGACGCATCTAAACTATAAACATATCATATTGTAACTTCTTCCTTAGTCTGTTGTGTGATGGCGTGTACACTATTTGATATCGGTATAGTGTCATCATTTTGCATTCCATACAATATATTGATTAACTTTTCAAAATATCATGAGTAATATTTACACGCTATAAAAGGGGTTAGATTACACATCATACTTTTAAAGGAGCTTAAATAGTGGTAATGGTATTGTGTGTCAGAAAATGTTGCATATTTTGAGCTCTTCATAGATATTTTTAAATTTTGAGCATTAATAGGCAGCATGCTTCTAGCTTCTCATTTGGAACATAGTGCAATTAAATTTAGATGCTATATATGTTTTCATTATAATTATATTTTGCTTAAGATAAATTTTTGTGCCACATGCAAAAAACAAAAGTACCTTAGCTATAGAGGTAATTTATTTTTCTTTTCTCCCTTAAATCTAATCTTTCACTCTAATGGATGAAGCAATTTGAACATAATTGTATGGTCACTTTCAATGTGACAGATTTTTCTAGTATAATGACAAATTCTTTATGCTTTTTTCAGATATTTAAAATCAGACTTGCTTAATTTTTATTAAAATTAAGTTATTTTCGATCACCCTTTAGAATCTGTAAGAATGAAAAATTTGAAGCAAAGAAGACAAATAATTTACAAGATGTGTTTTTAATTTGAAAAATTGACTTTTGAGAAGTGGAGTTCAGAGCAGTGAGCCTCTTAAGATTCATTTAAATTTTTTCAGACGAGTACACATACTGTTATTTTAACTTAAATATCTCAGAAATTATGTTGAGTTTTAAACTGAAAATTTGGAATTTGCTATTATTATTATCAAGAAAACTCATTGATTTTGAAGTCCAAACTTCTGTACCTCGGATCACTTGATGCACAGTTTTATGGATTATTTTATTATGATCAGTTGACTTATCAAATTGTTTTGTCATTTGCTCTTTCTTCATTTATGGAACATTTTATTGCAGATATACAGAGCATGGGACAGTTTCCCATACTGAAGTGTCATACAAGAAGGGGCATGGTTTTCCAGATACTTAACTAAGCTGTGTCAAGATTTTTGTGAATATAATTTGATCCAAAGAGTAACTGGAATACCACTTGACATGAACTGATTGGATAGTTTGGTTTCCAGCACATTTGATTCGGAGTGTTATTTGTAGCAGTGAAGGCAGTTGTGCACCAAATTTTAGCTCTAGTATCGTCATTATTCCTGAGTGTGTCTGTAGTTGTGTCTGGAGCAAATCATGCTGGCGGGTGAGGCTTGCTTCTGGAATAGCCCCATAATTTATGTCAATTTGAAGAACAACATCTAAATTGTATGGTCATTGAAGTGTATTTAATAAATAAATTTGATATTTCTAAGAATTTCACATGTGTAAAAATATACATAATATACATATATATAAATACGTAATATACTTTCTTCTTTTGTGAACATTTTTCGGATATTGAGATAAAATTTCCTTGGGAGGGGGGGATTTTTTTTCGCACTGAATGCTTGTTAATGTATAATTTTATTTAATTACTCCACCTTTGCCAGTGGACATGACTACAGAGGGCTTTCTTTCATGCATCTGTGTTGTACAGAGGTGTACCAAGTAGTAATTCGAAGTCTGTCATTCCATAATTATAAGACCTATTGTAGCTGTCTGTGTTTTTCCTCAGTGAAGTCAAATAAATGTTCTAAATATATAGAATAGGCTGTCTTTTCATTGGTACCCCATGCATTATTTTTGTTAGCACATTTTGTGTAGATGTGTTGAAACTACTGTTTTCTGGTTTATCTACACTTTTGCCTTGAATTTAATTTATAAATAAAATAAGCTATACTATGTAGATGCTAAGAAGTGTAAGGGATGTGGATCTTGAAGGTTACTGTGGTATTATACTAGAGCCTTACTTAAATTTGCTTTTAATAAATATGTTCAATGTGACTGCTTGTAGGTTTCACATTTTATCTATGGTTTTGGTGTTAAATTTATTTGTCAGAATATGAAAAGTTGTGCATAGTATGCAAGATTGTCCTTTTGGGGCTCATATGAATAATATGTTTGTGTGTACGTATATGCATACATTTTTCACTAGTGGCTCCATGCAATCAGATTCCTGGTATTAATTGTGGCTGTTTGTACATTATAATGTATTACAGTAAATAACTAAAAATAAGCCAAAAGAATGTATTCTTATAAGTAGGAATGTCATTATTAAAATGTTTGCGTGAATGATGATAATATGCACTAATGTAATAATGTTGATAGATTTTTACTGGAGTCCGTTGTAAATCTGGATATGTATCGGGTATACCTGCATGAAAATAGTGTAATTAGATTCTTCTTTGACTTCTCTGTAATCCTCATGGAATGTTATAAGTATCTGAAAGTACTTGATATTAATTTTTAAAACTAATACATGAATATTCTTTTCATAAGTTAACGTTAGTGAATGTCTGGTTGTATGCACAGGATTGAATGAGAATTATAATTTGCAGAGTAGCGGTAGAAGTAGCTTTTATTGTAACACTATAAAAATTATAACTTAAAATTGTTATATTGTAAGTGCTGTAATGACCACATAGTTTGAATTGTGTTGTTTAGATATGTACACTGGCGAAGCTTTTCTCCATTTTGAAAAAATTGGCACTTTTTGCCTTTCATGTACAATTTGAATGGAATTCATTCTTTTTTTTCTGACTTGTGTTGTGTTTGTAGAAAAAGGTGCTTTTTAGAAATAGAATTTAATCATATCGTTGCTCTTGTACTTGTTCAAAGTTATGTCTAGTAAGTAATTCGTTCTGTTTTATTATTTCAGAGTATTAACACATTTCAAATTCTGTAGTAAGCTTGTTGGGTTTTGCCATCGTCTCATTGGTGGGATCTTCTTCCACTTGTACTTTATGCACGTCAGATATTTTTTCCTTCATCTGCTTGTGCATAAATTACATGGGAATGTCCTTAAGATGATGTATGTACCAATGTGAACTTCCATTATTTTCATTTTAATAATAGTGAAGAGGTTCTATTATTGATATGCTGTATAAGAATCCCATTGTTTAATAACTAACAGAGCTTATTTATGTTTATAGTTGTCAGCAGTGTATTGTACCAAAATCTCATAAACTTGTTTAACAACTTACAAAGCTTTTTTAAAATTTTATTTAAACTGAACAGAAAAGACCTTTGTTAACATCTGCAGTATACTCCCAAGTTTCTTTACATAGTTGTGTGATTATTCATTTGGCACTTGGTTGCATATTTGTCTAATAAAATACTTGATGAACTTCGCCCTGGCAACCCCACAGCTGTTAAGGTCTCCAGTCTTATATTTTTGTTTTGTTTTGGGGCTTTGTGAAGGATGTGCCGTCTACTTCAAATGACATTAAAGTTAAAGGAGGCATGCTGCAAGTGGACAGGGGCATGCTTGGCTGGATTCTGACAGAGATGAACTACTTTCTTCATCACCTCAACTTCTCATAGCACAGCCAGCAGCCAGACAACATGTATAAACACATCAGTAACACATTTCATTCAGAGTGTATAAAAAATGTGAATTAAATACATTTTGATAAACAAAACTATTACATATGTCAGAATTGGCATATAGTGAATTAGCAAATCTAGTGTAGGTGTTAAAAATGCCACAGTTGATAGTGGTGAGCAACTGTGTGCCAAGCGGCCACCAAGTTACTGCCGAGGTGGCTCTGCAAGACCGTATTCAATCTTGTTACATCTTCATCTCCATACAGCTGAGGAATGGCAGGAACAATGGGTTCTTGAATGTGTATACAGTGAAACCTCGATGCATCGTTTTCGGCGGGGGTGGGAAATAAAAACGATAAATGCGGGAAAACGATAGATGCGGGAAAGCATTAAAAATTTAAAAAAAAACAATGTTTCTCTTTCAAAGTTACTTCTTTTTACCAAAAAAGTCTTTAATGGACAACTGGTTTGTCGAAACTTTACGTTTTAGACCAAACAGAGCACTTTCCACGTTCAAAATGTTTTCCTCGTCACGTTCACTAATACTATGCGCATAAAAGAACGACTTCACTTTCGCCAATGCAGCGTGCGCTTCGGCAAAACTCGGCAAAGCTTCGGGCTCGCATTCGTCGTCTTCCACTGCACATGCCATCTGGCATCGCTGGAACGAAATATGAGTGCACCCTAATTAAAATCGTAAAATTTCTGACAATGGGCACCGCCATTCACTCCAACTATCACCCCTGCACCGCTGACCCTCATTCCAAAAGAATGTGCTGGTTGGGCGACATAACAGGTTACCGCTACTGTTTATTCCAAAAACATTGTGCGTCTTTCGGTATTAATTTATCTCAAACCCCAGCATTTTAAATTCTCAGAAACGATCATTGCGGGAAAATTGTGGGCCGGGACTAAGATTTTTGAACGATCGATGCGATAAAACGATAGTTCGAGGAACGATAGAAGCGGGAAAATGTAACATTATTTTATATGGGATGTATTCGGGACTGAACAAAACGGACGATGCATCCGGGAAAACGATAGTTCCGGGAACGATGGATAGAGGTTTCACTGTACATCTTTTCGGGACATCCTTGTGGACAAAGTCTAATGGCAATAGTACAAAGTAATAATTCCTAACTTCTGGAATTGTAAATATTTAAAATGAGTCCGTAGCTTTCTATTAAAATTACAGTATAAAGTCATGTTTGGTATCATGGTATATTCCTGTCTTTCAAAAATTTTGTTTAATGGTTCTCTGATTCATAAAAAATGTTTAGGGTAAGTCATTACTAATATCTATATTAAACCTTGTTATTTATTTTATCTTGCTGTTATCAGTGCTTGATAACTAAATACACGTAATTCAGTGGTTTTGTATTAACCTTGGGAGTCTGGACATCTTTTTGGGACACTTGTGTCTATGCATGCTAGTGGAATAGCTGCACTGCTTGGACCATTCTCAATTGATAGTATTCGCCGCGAAAGTCTCATATCCTATTTCCTGAACTGTGTTTTGCCTCAGGCCCATGACCATTATTGCTGCATATACAAGAGAAGTGGCTGTAGTGGACTGACTCTGGTCAATGTACATATCAGTATTTTCAGTCTTTTGTTATTTTAATAATTATTATATTAAAAAGTAATGTTTTATTGTATTAATTTTACTGTTCATATACTACACATTTACTTCATATGTCAAGTATGATGCATGTAGTTTTCAGTATGTGTATTCTGCGTTTCTTGAGGGTGGTCATATATGGCCAAAACGTAGCAACGTAATCTGCTTACTCACTCACTCTGTGGCGCAGGAAATGTTTTGAAAAGTTGGCTTGTCAAAGAATAGCCAACTTTCTTCATGGAATGCTAAGGTTCATCAAAAGCCCGCCACCAGACTATCTTGAATTGGCTGCATCGAGTTTACTAATCTGCTTACATTGACACTAGTTTAATAAATGGATTGTTAATATTTTGCATTAGGTTTTGATTGTTGTATGTTGATGGAATTATCACAATAAGGATGCTCACAAGCTATGTATGTCTTTCATAGCAGTAACTAGTGTGGATAGCGAAATAGTTTGCATACTTGTCTGTTGTGGGATTTTGCACCATGTAGTTTTATAGGAATTAACTGATGTTTCAGAGGTGCTTACTGCTTCCAGCATCAGATTAGCATAAGTGACAGTGGAATTCAGTTTGATATACATTGGTGTATTATCCAGATATGACACCACTCCTGGCTTCTGTAGTCAACTTTGTCATCTCTATTTTATCATCTTTATTATAAATATCATTTTGGTCTTGTTGGCCATTCATTCAGTAACAGGATGTTAATTATGGAAGACAATATTTTTTTTTTTTTCCAAATTATGTCTGCAATTTTGTTGGTATATTTTATATCTTTTCTGCCATGTTTGTAATTTTTAACCCTCTCCGAGGTCATATTTCTTTGGTTATCTGGGCTAGGAAATTCTGCCAATATGTAAGTGTAATTTTGTATGATTTAACATTTGTATGCCAATATTTCTTTTAATTATGACATTTATTTTGTTGTGTCTCAGTAACTTTATATGAATACCTTTCTGTTGTGTTACTACTACTACTGCTACTACTATGGCGTAACAGCCGAAAATCGAGCCCTAGCCTCCTCTATCTTCTTCCTCCAATCCTCTCTATCCTTCTCCAAGCTGCTGTTCCAAGGAGATTTCTGGAGTCAGTCGTCACTGCATCCAGGCATCTACCTTTAGGTCTTCCCACTGGCCTTCTCCCATATATTGTTCCTTCCAATATTTTTTTGGGTATCCTATACTCTTCCATCCCGTAGACATGTCCAGCCCATTCCAACCTTCTCAGTTTAATGTGAGTTACTATATCATCACTTTTATATAGTCTATATAGCTCATGATTGTAGCGTATCCTGCACTTTAAGTTTTCATGAACTGGTCCAAAGATTCTTCTCAAAATCTTCCTTTCAAGTGCGCCCAGCATCATTTCTGTTTTCTTTGTCAGTGTCCAGAGCTCACTTGCATAGCAGAGGAT